TAGCTGGTGTTGCTGCGCAATACAACTGCCAAGCCCTAAGACGGCAGTCGGCCGGATAGCACGGAAGAGTCCAAACTTTTGCATGCACAGTGAGCATGGCAATCTACTTTGTAAATATTGCGGTGCTACGGATGCGAGCGACGGTTTGTCGAGACTCGAGAGGGCAACCGACAGGAACCAAGCGAGCCGAGGATGGTGGAGCTGGGCGCCTACAAAAGTGTGGAGAAGATACAGAGAAAGGATTTTGAATGAAGAATTGAACATCTGTGCGCCGGCAGATCGCTAGGGGGCAAATAAGGTTCGCACGAGATGGTATTCAGTCAGTGCAACAGCCAGCACCTTGAGAATAAGATAGTAACGAAAATTGATAGAAGATAAAAAGGAGAGAATATCCGTGCCCTTGCTAATTAATGCATTACTAGTAAGCGAATAGTGCTACGAAATTTACAATTAATGGATATATAGCCTTGGGAACAAATGTAGATAGTTGGTACTTTGACTTTGTTTCTTGAAGATGCTTTTTGTGCTTCCCACGAATAACGTACCCCACAGGCGAGTTGGACACACGGGCGAGTTGGACACTTTTGCCAAGACCCTACTAAACCCCACCCTATTATGGCCTAAAACACCACACTCTAGCGCTGCAAGGTGCAGTATAGCTTAGAATATTATTTAGAGACTACTTCTACATTATTCTTGCATGTTTGCGCGTTGTGCCTAGTCTAATTGCACTGTCTATAGCGTTGTTAGGAGGGCTTACCTACTTTAGCGCGCACCTGCTTCTTTAACTTCTTTCTATTACTACATGCCCTAAACTCCTTTAGAGCTACTATCTACTACCCTCCCTTAACTATAAGGGTCCCTTCCTTCTAGATTTGCTTTCTTTTGCGCGGTTTACATTCTGTGGTAGCTGCTAGAGCTGCGTGAAGCTTAGCGTTCTCCTGTTGCGCTAAAACTAGCTTATGCAATAGAATTACTCCCCCCTTTGCATAGTGCTTAAGTGCGCTTAGCACAGAATTAGGTGAGCTACCCTACTACTTCTTATACTTCTCTTAAATTAAAGTTAATTGCAACTAAAGTTCTAGGGTATTGCTAGGGGTTTATAACTACTAGGGCTTGTTATTATTAGGGAGTTATAGTAATAGAGTGCGTAGCTTTATATTAAGCCCTATTATAACCTATCCTAGGTTAAAGGGGACTAGTCTAGCGCCTTAGAATCCTCCTTATATATTACTTAAGGTAAATATAGCATTATAGGCTGCTTTAAAGCATAGCAGGAACTTAAGCTTTGTAATATAGTTAATCTACTTATATATAACGTAAAGCACCACCGAGCCAGACACACCACTAAGCTGGACACTTTTTCTTGGCATTGTGAACACCATGTACAGGACAAGCAATTACTTACTACTTGCTACAGAACCTGCGTACAACGCACTTGCATTAGATGCAGACTCTTCTTCTGCATCTTTCTGGCACGTACAAGCGTTGTGCCCAGTCTTCCCACAGTTGCTATAGTGCTGTTGACCTGGCTGTGCTCTTTCTTGACTACTACTACTACTACGCGCTTTCTTTAACACTGTACAAGCTGCAGCTGCGCTTCTAGCTACTAACAATGCTGCTTTACTATACTCTATTGTGCCCCTATGCTAGATCTGCTTTCTTTTCTAAGTCTTGCGCTTTATTATCTCTGCTAGTTGCTCTTCAAGCTCCTGTACACGAGCCTTAATAAGTATATTTTTATATAGCATCTCTTTAGCTCCTTTAACAAGCTTTAAGAACCCCTCCTAAGTAGATGTTAGTAACTGTACAAAGCGCTTACTTATAATCTTTAATTATAATCTAAATTTATAGGTATTGCTTAGGGTTCTAGATTGCTACATCGGGAAAAGTTTTTCGAAATCCGGCCCAGACTGGCCGTTGCTGACAGTCGTGGTGGCATGGTCGTGCAACGGCCGTTCAACGGCCCCAACAGCCCCAATTTGCGCCCAACGGCCCTAATTTCGCGCCAACGTTGCTAACAGCCAAAACACTAAGTGCCTATATTCAACAAACTTGAAATAACGTTGCAATGTTGTTGCATAGCTACCCTTAGTTCTGCTAGCACTAGTATTAAATATTAAAAAATTGCAAAATTTCATGCACAGATAGAGCGAAATTGTAGCTTTAAAATAAGCAAAAAATTATTGTTGTAGGCCTACTACAACGCAAGTTATAGAGCGTTAAAGGTTTGTTTGTTAAAGGTTTGTGTTTTGAAGTTGCGACAGCACACCATAGCAGCTGCAGCTGCGCCAGCACACAATGTATCAGCTGCAGCTGCAACAGCACACGACGCAGCAGCTGCAACAGCGCACAACAAAGCACCTGCTAACAAGCACACACTGCACAACAGGCAGGCCTAGGCGTAGAATTCTTAGTTTACCTACTATTCTTGAATAACATTCTTGTATTTTCTAACATTTAGGCTGCTAGAGCCCTAGCAAAGAATCTTAACTTAGTGTCTTAGCAAGGAATATTAAGCTTAAAACCTTCTACGCTTAATAACTATTATATTAATAGGCCTATAATGTTGTTTAATAGCTTATTTTAAAGAGGAGACTTGATTGATTGATTGATTGATTAGTTTAACGTCCTGTGTGAGTCTAAGACTATATAGGACGAGAGCAGTGAGGCTGCTCTAGTAATTTACAAGTTTTTTCTGTGTAAGGGAATAGTATATATAGGTTCGTAGACATATAGTAAGAGCCTGTGCTCTAGTTATAAACAAAGGAAATTAGTTGTCTATTATTTGCTGTAGGTACTACTTGCATATGCCTACTTTAGTTTCTTGAATAAAAGCTAATGTAGCTTAGATTCCCCTGTTTGTGTCTAGGAGAAGGGACATTGTAAGTCTTGTCTCCTGTAGGCTGCTCTTTATTTTCTTTCTTGCTTCTCTATAGTTTCTATAGCTAAGCAGTAGGTGTTAAGGTGTTTGTGTATATCCACAGCTGCATGTAGAGCTTTCTGTTTTTTGTATATTGTGTAGATATGCTTTGTTATATCTATGTCCCAGCTTTAGCTAGTAGTATGCGCTTGCAATTTCTCTTCTAGTGTTTTTTAGTAGTGTTATCTTGCTTGTTAGTTTTAGCAAGAATCTTGCTGCATAGGTGCTAGGATTTCTAAGCTTTGCTTTTGTAGAGTAGGCTTAGAGTTTCTGTTGCCACTCTTGTCTTACAAAAGCTTTAATCCTAATACCTGTTATTGCAAGGCTTGTGGTATTAGATACTAGTTGCTGTTTTGTAGCTTGTTTTGCTAAGACGTCTGCTTTTTTGTTTCCTGTAATATCTAGGTGTCCTAGGGTCTAGTGTAGGCTAATTGTTGCGCCTTTGCTGTAAATTGCCTTTGCTGCGTTTGTGCAGCGGATTTGCCAAGCTTGTCTAGGGTTATTAGAAGGAGTCTTTAGCCTTAGAATAGCTGCCTGGTTGTCTGCAAAGACTTGGATCTCTTGTGTTGCTGTAGCTGTAGAAGCTGCAAACTTAAAGGCTCTTGTTATGCCTTCTAGCTCTCTATTGTATACAATCTAGCCTTTGCTAATATTGTATTTAGTAGAGTAGATTTCTTTAGCCTGCTGTTTATAGTCTAGAGCAGTAACTCCTATTCCTATTCCTGTGCCTTTCTTAATAGAGGAGGCGTCTGTGTAGATAGCGAGTAGGTTGTCTCCTAGTCTCTGTAGCATTTGCGTTTTGTGTTGCTCTGCTTCTTCTTCTTTAGAGAGTTTAGAGATCTCTGCTGTGTATAATATAGTCTTGTTCTAGGGGCAGAAATAGTAGTCCTATAGTTTTTCTTCTTCTGTGCTAGGAGTAGCGTTTTGTATTAATTATATAATTTGCATAAGCTAAGTAGGTGGGCCTGTTCTTAGCCTTAGGAGAGCAGCTTCTTCCTCTTGTTCTGTACTAGACTCTAAGTCTTCTCTTTATAACTATAGAGTAGCTTTTAGAGTCTTAATTATAATGTAAATAGGGTGGTTTTTAGGTAGCTTTCTAGCTCTAAAGGCGTACTTTCTTAGAGCAGTATTCAGTCTTATAGCAGGGGGAGGAAGTGCTGCCTCTGTCTCCTGTGGTGCTATAGGAGAGGTCCTAAAGGTTCCTAGGATTTTTCTTAGGTCAAGATTCTGCAGTCCTTGGAGTTGCTTTGTTATTCCTGCTTGTTGTTTCTAGAAGACCTGGCAACCATAATCTGCGATGCTAGAAACGCATGCTAAGTATAGCTGTCTTATAGCGCTGGGAGGGAGGCCTCTATTGCTATTTGCAAGTCTGCACATTCTGTAGAAAGCGTTTCTTGCTTGGCTAATCCTTGTAGCTGCGTGTTCTTTAAAGGAGAGTGCGTTGTTAACGTAGATTCCTAGCCACTTTACTGTCTTTTTAGGCTCTATAGTAGACCTGTCTAGCAGGGTAAGTGTAGAGCTAATAGCTTTATTACTTGTTATAAAGTGAATAAGTTCTGTTTTTGCTGCATCAAATTGTATAGCACAGCTTGCTCCTTTAGCAAATAGGCTTGCTATGTCTCTTTCTAGCAAGCGGGCATTCTTCTTTAGGCTAGTAGATAATGCTGTAATTGCTAGGTTGTCTAGGTAGGAAAGGGAGTAGTTTGTAATAGATTAAAACAGAGGTCTAATATATATTAGAAACAGGATTGGTAAGACAGGGCTGCCTTGTGGAATTCCTGCTGTAATGCTGCTAAAGCCCTCTGTTTCTCTATTAAAGGATAGTCTTAGCTAGCGCTTAGAAAGGAATAATTAAACCTATGCTATTATATTGCAAGGTAGCTGTAGCTGTTGTAGTATAGCAAGTAGCTAGTTTAGAGCAACGTGGTTAAAGGCGTCTTTAATGTCTAGGAATACTGTAGAGGTTGTGCGTTTTAGTTTTCTTTGCTCTTGGACCTGGTTTAGCAGCAGCATAGATGCGTCTATTGCGGATTTTTGTGCTCTTCCACCTAGTTGTGAGGGGTGAAGAAGAGCTGTTGTTTCTGCAAGAGTTCCAAGGCGTTTTGCTACTACTCTTTCTGCAACCTTGCCTAGGCAGCACGCCCTAACTTAAGAGATTATTACTGCAGCATATAAAGCACAGACAGAAATATTTTTCTCTGTCTTCTTTGCTCTATTTAACTATAGATACTACCTATAGGAATAGAAGAAAGCAATAGGAATTATCCTAAAAAAGCTAAATAAGCCTAACTATGCTGCACCTAAAGCTTATAGAGTAATTACTTTACTTAGCTGCCTAGGCAAGGTTGTAGAAAGAGTAGTAGCAAAACGCCTTAGAACTCTTGTAGAAACAACAGCTCTTCTTCACCCCTCACAACTTAGAGGAAGAGCACAGAAATCTGCAATAGATGCTTCTATACTGCTGCTTAACTAGGTCTAAGAGCAAAGAAAACTAAAGCGCACTACATCTACAGTATTTCTAGATATTAAAGGTGCCTTTGACCATGTTGCGCTTAACCAGCTACTTGCTATATCACAACAGCTACAGCTACCTTGCAATTTAATAGTATAGGTTTAATCATTCCTATCTAAGCGCTAGGTAAGACTATCCTTTAATAGAGAAACAGAAGGATTTAGCAGCATTAAAGCAGGAATTCCATAAGGTAGCCCTATCTTACTAATCCTGTTTCTAATATATATTAGACCTCTGTTTTAATCTATTACAAACTACTCCCTATTCTTTCTAGATAACCTAGCAATTACAGCATCATCTACTAGCCTAAAGAAGAATGTCTGCTTGCTAGAAAGAGATATAGCAAGCCTATTTGCTAAAGGAGCAAGCTGCGCTATACAATTTAATGTAGCAAAGACAGAGCTTATTTACTTTACAACAAGTAATGAAGCTATTAGCTCTACACTTACTATAGAGCCTAAAAAGACAGTAAAGTGGCTAGGAATCTACTTTAATAATGCACTCTCCTTCAAAGAACACATAGCTACAAGGATTAGCTAAGCAAGAAACGCTTTCTATAGAATTTGCAGACTTGCAAACAGCAATAGTTGCCTCCCTCCTAGCGCTATAAGACAGCTATACTTAGCATGCGTTTCTAGCATTGCAGATTATGGCTGCTAGGTCTTCTAGAAACAACAAGCAGGAACAACAAAGCAACTCTAAGGACTACAGAATCTTGCCCTAAGAAAAATCCTAGGAACCTTTAGGACCTCTCCTATAGCACCACAGGAGACTGAAGCAGCACTTCCTCCCCCTGCTATAAGACTAAATACAGCTCTAAGAAAGTACACCTTTAGAGCTAGGAAGCTATATAAAGACTACCCTATTTATATTATAATTAAGACTCTAAAAGCTACTTTATAGTTATAATAAGAAGACTTAGATTCTAGTACAGAATAAGAGGAAGTAGCTGCTCTCCTAAGGCTAAGAAGAGGCCTACCTACTTAGCATATACAAATTATATAATTAATACAAAACACTACTCCTAGCACAGAAGAAGAAAAACTGCAGGACTACTATTTCTGCCCCTAGAACAGGACTATATTATACACAGCAGAGATCTCTAAACTCTCTAAAGAAGAAGAAGCAGAGCAACACAAAACGCAAATGCTACAGAGACTAGGAGACAACCTACTTGCTATCTACACAGACGCCTCTTCTATTAAGAAAGGCACAGGAATAGGAATAGGAGTTACTGCTCTAGACTATAAACAGCAGGCTAAAGAAATCTACTCTACTAAATATAATATTGGTAAAGGCCAGATTATATACAATAGAGAGCTAGAAGGCATAACAAGAGCCTTTAAGTTTGCAGCTTCTATAGCTATAGCAACACAAGAGATCTAAGTCTTTGTAGACAACAAGGCAGCTATTCTAAGACTAAAGACTCCTTCTAATAACCCTAGACAAGCTTAGCAAATCCGCTGCACAAACGCAGCAAAGGCAATTTACAGCAAAGGCGCAACAATTAGCCTACACTGGACCCTAGGACACCTAGATATTACAGGAAATGAAAAAGCAGACGCCTTAGCAAAACAAGCTACAAAACAGCAACTAGTATCTAATACTATAAGCCTTGTAATAACAGGTATTAGGATTAAGGCTATTGCAAGACAAGAGTGGCAACAGAAACTCTAAGCCTACTCTACAAAAGCAAAGCTTAGAAATCCTAGCACCTATGCAGCAAGATTCTTGCTAAAACTAACAAGCAAGATAACACTACTAAAAAACACTAGAAGAGAAATTGCAAGCGCATACTACTAGCTAAAGCTGGGACATAGATATAACAAAGCATATCTACACAATATACAAAAAACAGAAAGCTCTAAATGTAGCTGTAGATATACACAAACACCTTAACACCTACTGCTTAGCTGTAGAAACTACAGAGAAGCAAGAAAGAAAATAAAGAGCAGCCTACAGGAGACAAGGCTAACAATGTCCCTTCTCCTAGACACAAACAGGGGAATCTAAGCTACACTAGCTTTTATTCAAGAAACTAAAGTAGGCACACACAAGTAGTACCTACAGCAAACAACAGACAACTAATTTCCTTTGTTTATAACTAGAGCACAGGCTCTCACTATATGTCTACAAACCTATATAACGTGTTTCACAAGCGAGCGCCGCACCCAACCGAGCGCCGCACTTTCAACAACAGAACGCCTGCGCAGCGCTATATCACAACACAACACGAATAAATAATTGTTTGCAGGCCTAGATAGTATTATTTAGAAGCTTCACTATCATCTGCGTCCTCTATTTCCACCTTGCAAGTGCAGGAATTGTGTCCAATCTCACTGCAACGCCCACAGCGTCGTCTAACGCGCACCCTCTTTGCAGGCGTCTTGCCCTCACCACAACCCCCACCCTCCTTTTCAGCAATTAAGTTAGCTACTTCGCCAACTGTAAGGGTCTCCTCTGCGTGTATATATTGTCGCTTACAGGTCTTGCGCTTTGTAGACGCTTCTACAGTGTCTTGAAGGCGGCCTATTTCCTCCTGCATTAACACCATATTATGAGCTATCTGCTGAGCGCCCTTTGCTAACTGTTTGACCTGCTTATCTAACGAACTTGCTAGAGACCCTTAATGGATTTGAATCTGCTTTTGAATTAGAGTTGACTGCTCCTCTACTTTGTAAGCAGTGCGTGGTGTCTTTAGCTCCCAGGCGACGTCGCTGGGTTTTGGTGGCGTTGGCGTGCGCAGGCGCACATCAAGCTTTGATAACACCACCTCTGGGTTGTGTGGGACTAGCCCAGCACCTCTAAAGCCTGCGCGAACGTTCTCTCCAGTGAACGCCTTACTAAACGCTGATTTAAAGGCTGGCAGGAAGGTTTCCTTGTTGATATGGTGGATGCGACTGCGTGCCAAGGCCGAAACCTCGTCGCCATACAGGCGCTTTAGTGGCGAGAAGCA